TTTTTTTTTTTTCTTGTTCTCCCCGCTGCCTGACTTTGATGTGGTGTCAAAACATGTCTGGTTAGGCTTTGCATTTTGATGTTTTGTGCACAAAAAGAGGAAAAATCATAAATGTGGATTTTTTTTTTTTTTCCGTAGTTTTCTGAGAGATAGGGACGGCCTTGAGATATTATCATTGAACTAACCGAACCAGGTAAATTCAATCTTCTATCTAATCTGACAGGACGTGGCCGTCTCAGCTGGGGTGAACTTATCGTAGTCGTCAGGGGAGCCCCGGCAGCTATATTCTCTCCCACATGAGAGAGTGAAGCCACACGAGCTCCATGGGGATTAGCGGGGCAACGGTGGCCAGGGATCACCCAGTAGCACTAGGAACGAGCATATTGCCAGCTGCTGTGCCTCCCTATCTCCCCTCCCCATATGAACATCAGCAGTGTATGCTTTTCTTTTTTTTTTTCCGGGGTGTTGTAGAGAGTCTAGAGAGCAGTTACTAGGCACACATTGATCGCCGGGAGCGGCCAGCCATGGTTGCCCATCCATCCTCGCGTTAATACAGCCACTGTATGCTAATGTCACTCCTGATGGTGGGTGTCAAGTGTGCACACGTAGGTACATGAGGCCAATGGGACTTGACCTCATGACCTCCTGAATCCACTTTTGTAGCTTACCGAGCTAGGCCATCGACTCAAATCCTAAATTTGAGTCAGGCAGGGGGAAGGGAAAAGAAATAATAAAAGAAAAAAACAACGATGAACTCTTAAACCTTGAACCCTAAACCCTAACTCTTATTCATAAACCCTAACCCCTAACCCCTGAACCCTAAGCCTCCAATCCCCTAAATCCCAAAAGGGCCACCATGTTCTTCAGCTGGTCTACCACTGCCCTTAAACCATCAGAACTTTTTCCAGGCATTCTTCTGAGATGCAGCTGTGCACTTGCTGCAACTGTCGGGGCACGGCATACCAGAGCCAGATGGCTGGCAGCGCCAGACAAAAGAGAAAACACACCGTTTTTATTTTGGGGGGTAACTACGGCGCAGTCACGAAAGCAGTTCGTAATTGTGTTTCAAACTGCATTTTAGCAGTTTAGTCAGGGCCCGAGTTTCAAATGCAGCAGTCGAAACTCGGGCTAGTCTTTTTTAGCAGTTCAGTGAGGCACGTGGCCCCTTTTTATT